TTGAGTTTACATGAATTTATATTTGGAAAAGTTGCAATTGCTTTCTTACATCCATGGAACCACTCATATAACTCTTCAAACTCTACAAATATAATCTATCATTTTGTGTTGACATACATGCAATATGTAATCTACAAATTTCTTATATAGGCTAAATATTTCATTTAACTCATCAATTAAATAGTATGATTTAAAGAGTTTTGGGAGTTACAAATTATAATATTTCAATTAATCATAAACTAATTTGTATAAGCTGAATAGTCTTGGGAGTTTCAAATGCATGAGATTCAAGGAAAAATGCTTGTTTTATAAGATATATAGATTATTGTATATGGGATTGTTTTAAATTGTTTTTAAGATTATTTTTAAAATTTTATATTTGTTTATTAATAACTGTTCAAGAGTTTGGTATGATTGTTGTGAATTTGTGATCCACGAGTTTTTCTTAAAAATGTCTTCTTAAAAAACATTTCATGCACTTGATTGATTGCAGAAGACTCTTTTAAATTAGAGTAAATTACAAATTTCGACAATGATATACCATTTATCTTATATCTTGTTCAAGAAGTGATTTTATTTCTCTTGGATTTCGTCTTTACTACACCTCTACATTCAACTATTAAGACTACATGAAATGACTTTTTTGTTCAAAAAATTAATAATAATTATATTTTATTTATCATTACAAAGTGAGCTCCTCCCCCGTCCATTTTGACGCAGAACGGGAAAAATAACATAAATAAATGTCTAGGGTTTCATAACAAATAAATTTTATTGATTTCAATATACTTCGAAAACTTACATTCATTATATGTAACATTCACGTTTTGGGCTAAAAGTCCGCACCATTATGTGTGAAATTTCTATCAAAAAAAGTTGTTTTGGGGTATTGTATAATCGGGTGTTAATGAATAAAAAAAGGAGTGAGTGTGATTCTCATTTTAACCTTCCTTATGATGAATTAAAGTATTTTGGAAATTTAGAAAATGCAATGCCATTTTGTTGAGACCTTAATTGTTATAAAGGACTAATTTTAGTTGGATATTGTAATTATCAAATTCCTAGATTGATTTAAAAGTTGAACATTGGGAAAATACTAAGGTTAATGGAAGTTAGAAGCTAATTTATGAAAATAAACACTTATAAGATACAAGTCTTTTTAGAGCAATGTGTTAGTCATTTTGGTTTTACTTAAGTACTAGGCTAATATCCGTGTATTGCGCAGAATAAAATTATATAGTTAAGCTTTTTCGTATATACATGTTGAAAACAATAAGACATTACCAACAAAATAATAATTATTACACTAAGTTGATTTATAAATTTGTATCTATTTTAAAACATATTATAAAATATATTTTTTCTTATTGGCAAATAGCGTCTTGAAGTGAAGGGAAGACATTATTGAAGGAAACAGATGGCGGGTCGGTCAAGTGCATTCGCTATTCATCTATTACAATCATAATATTCCATAGCACATACCCATGGTTTGCGTTTAAATTAAAATAAAAATGGTTTTCAATTTAGTATTACAATGTAACATTATGAGTGATTAATTTATAAATTACTCATCTATTGATTTTTCTTTTAATTTCGATCATTATGGTTAACTGGTATATGAACCATTGTTTGTAAGTTAACGCAATGTAATTTTTTTTGCTAATTAATTCAAAACTTTAGAAAAAATGAATTATAATAATAAAAAAATTATTTCATTTGACTTGTCGTTCTACATGTAACATGTACAATATTAAAAAAAAAATTAACTATTTTGAAAAATAGTATTTGAATATATTTTTTTAAAGTTTATTTTATATTTTGAAATATGTTTTAGATTTAACATAATATTTAAATTAACAAATAAGTGTATTATAAATTTATAATAATCATTTTAAAGTCTACCAATAATGAGATAATATTTAGTATTAATGAACATGTTTTAAATTAATAGATTAATGATATTAAGTTGGAAATGAAAGGTCGTGGAGGTTTCAAATGCATATGGTGATAAAAAAAATGTCTCATTTATAGTATAGTATGAAATATGATGATATGATATAATATGGATATCTATAAATATCTAAGTTTTGGATTTATCTAAGCATCGGGTCTATCTAAGTTATCTAAGTATTGGGCTTATCTAGGAGTAGGTTAGTTAGTTTGCCGTTCAAAAAAAAATCTAAATATTGGGCTTATCTAAGTGTTGGTTCCATTTAAGTGTTGGGCATATCTAAGTGTAGGACATTAATGAACGTTCTCTACATTGAATTTGTATTAAAAATAATTATACCTCTTATATTTGTTATTAGTTTTATTTTTTTATTTTTTTTATATTTGTATTAATGTTTTTAATTAATTAAAAATAAAAGGTCTCTCCCCCCTCTCCCTCCCTCCCTCTCTCTCTCTCTCTCTCTCTCTCTCTCTCTTCTTTTCAAAACACACACTTTTAAGAAAATCCACACCTCCATCTCCGCCTGCCATCACTGTTCGCCACCTAATCCGCCGCTACCCTATCATGTCACTAAAACCACATTGACAACCACCATTTTAATTACCAGCACAACCCTACACTTCCATTACATCGTTGCCTACACCTACCATGGTAACATCGAGCATCTCTAACTTGACGGCCACCATTTTTAATTACCAGCACAACCCTACACCTCCATTATACAGATGCATGCACCCACCATGGTAAGGGGTAACCTCGAGCATCTCTAACTCCGACTCTTATTCTACAACCACCACCACCATTTTTTCTCTCAGATCAAACTGGAGACAAATATGGTTCTATAGCCACCACTATAGGGGAGAAGGTGAAGAAGTAGGAAGATGAGGGGATTAGTCGCTGGCGTCGGTGAAGTTAGGGTTCCAGAAAGCAGACATTAAAATGGTAGTAGCGGAGGATTTTTCCAGATATGTGCTAAGGTTAGGGTTACATACACGATGAGGTTAAGGTTTTTCAAACGATGGTCGTGGCGATGTTAATATCTAAAATATGACGGTAAGGATGGCACTGGTGGTCAGATATGAAGAACGAGATCTGAAAATATTCAAGATCATCAAGAACACCGGTGAGAGTGATAGCGTTGATGAGGTAAGCACTGATGTCCATATCTGAGCTGTAAGAAATTATAGGGTTTGTGGTGGAGATCTGAATACCAACTTGGATCGTGAGTACACTTTCCGAACTGATATTTCTACCCTATGTCTGGGTTGCAAGAAATTCAGCCTAGGATAATCCAAGTGGACACTTACGATTCTAGGCACAGAAATCGTAAGCCAATCTGCTAGAGAGATTCTGTGAGAGTTTGATGAAAACGAGAGCTAATGATCGTAACCTTCTTCTGATAAGGAAGAACCGTTTATATATTAAACGAGATTAGGGTTTCATTAGGGTTGGGCCGTCATTAGTTGTTTTGGAAGCAAGTTAGGATAATCCGAATCTAATGAGGATTTAAGGTTACCAAAACTAACGAGTTTCGTTAGTTTTACCATAATCACCCTCAAGAAATTGAATTTTCCACTATGTTCCCATATTACCATAATTAGCGGGACCCCAGCCAGGGGCTCTGCCCCTTGGACCCCGCTAGGGGCGCTGCCCCTAGACCCCGCCAAAGGTGCGCTGCCCCGGACCCCCGACTAGTCGTCGAACCGACTTCTAATTCGATTTTATACATGCGTGCACTCCGCACCAACCCGTACATATATTAGAGTACAAATTAAGAAGCCTTTTAGCTCACATGTTAATTCTAGTTATATAAAAATGACATGGTGACACTAAAATCACCAACATGAGCCACTACATTTAAGTCGAATTCCGATAGAACTGGTGGCGGCACAGCTCCTCTTGGTTGACTGGTGGTGGTGATTCTTTTTGTGAGAATGAGAAAGTGAACCGACTATTGTAGGAGAGAGAGAGAGTGAGTGAGAGAGAGAGAGAGGTGAGTGATGTTTTCTTTTTATTTTTTAATGAAAATAACAAGAAAATAAGTAAAAAAGATTTAAAAAAATGATTTAAAGGTATATTTATCTAGGTATTGAACAAAAAAACAAAAAAACATATCAATATCAATTATAAGGACCAAAACCTTACAAAATAACCAAAATTGGACAACATGGACCATATTTGTAATTTTGTCAATATATAATATAGAAAACCTAATATTGTCTAAGTTATAAAAACGAATGTAATATATTTTTTCTATTTTTATATTCAAATTAAATAAATTATTATTTCGAAATAAAACAAAATTTTTAAATATTTATATTTATTTTTAGTAAATAAAGAAATAATTATAAATTATAGTATTATTTAATAAAATATAGGTATGGGTTGGTTTTTATTGGGTTCAAAATTTGAATTAAGCTGGTTTGGTCCAATCAATTCTGATTTTTTTCAAAATGACGGATTTACCCCTGTTAATATGATTTTCTCTTTTTTCTTAATTGTTTTATTGATTTCCAGATTTTAAAAAAAAAATAAAAAATAAAAAATAAAATTAAATCTCTCTCTCTCTCTCTCTCTCTCTCTCTCTATTACAAACCACAACCAGAAATGATGGGTTCATCTAAATCAGAGATACCCTCGTAAAAAATTGACCACCCATCTTCTACTACCTTTCATCTTCATCACCTTCATCGACATATTTCTAAAATCTAAAATCAAACCTAAGAAATCGAGTTTGAGCCCTCATACCTTCAACAAAGTGATTGAAGTATCATCGGTCCTCTATAGCCCTGTCGAAGAACGATGCATAGATCCACCATCAGCCATGGTCACCCCTGTATTCTCCCTCCTCCTTCACCTTTTACCTCCTCTTTTCAAATGTCATTTCTACATTCTCCCTCCTCTATATTTTGTGTTAGGTTAAAACCCAAATCAGATATAACACAACCCAAAGTTATTAAGTCGAAATCGTTTCAAGCCCTAATCGGAGGAGAGAGTACCGGTGAGATTGTGCATCTGCTGCAAACATGGGGGTTTTCTTGAAAGCATCATGAATATAAAACTGGATCTTGAAAGGATGTACATGATGCATACATTTAGGTTAGATTTTCTACATATTTCTTTCTCTTTGATTTTTTGCAAATTTATGGGTTTGTAAACTCATAACCAAATCTTCGATTGTGTGGTATTTGTGTGTGTGTGTGTGTGTGTTTATCTTGACGTTATAGAAATCTTCAGTTAGGTTGATAGGTTTCATATGCAATTACAGGTTCCCATTCTCGATGGATCAGCGAGGGAATGGGTGGAAGCTATCGAGCAAGTTGGGATTGCAGTTGCTATGGATTCCAATGGAAGAAATTGTGAGAAACTAGCACCATATCTTACTCAACCTGTTCATGTGTCAAAAGGAGATTCTGTAATATCAGTATTCCCTTCTAAGCAAATTAGTATCAGTTACGGACTAAATTTCCCATAGGTAAACCTAAATCCCTTTATTTTCCTTTTATAAATCAATGTCTCTGATGCCGCCTTCCGACGAACAGGTTCTGTGAGATATCAAGCTCAACCAGCTTCGACGAAGGTGAGGAAGATGAAGACAAATAATGAGAGGGAGATGTGGTGGCGACAACGATGCCATCTTTTCCAGTTGTGGTTTATAATGAGGAGAGAGAGAGAGAGAGAGAGAGAGAGATTTAATTTAATTTTTTTTTAATCTGAAAATCAGAAAAAACAATTAAAAAAAAGAGAAAATCATATTAACATGGGCAAATACGTCATTCTGAAAATAATCAAAATTAATTGGAAACAAGCAATAAAATGAAAACTTTGGACCAGGTCTAAACTTTTTTGGACTAAATTGACAATTCTGAGCAAATACCATTTGTGATAGTTGGATCGGGTTTGTTTGATTCTGAATGGGAATGGAAATGGTCTTAGCCATTTGATTTTGGTTGACAAGTTGTGTATGAACTCCGCCAACGACGTTAACGTCTTCCACTTCCACCACAAATTAACGACATTTGCTGATATTTCACGAACGAGTTGGTTGAATTCAGTTATTTTCGATACAAAATTCAACTCTATGGTCACTGTCACACTTCCTCGTCGGCGCCGCCACCGCTATATCTTCTGTTGCGGTGAGTTGCTCCATTTTTTATTTTATTTTCTGTATTTTTGTGTTTTTAATTCTTCGATGATGTTCCGGTGTGCGTGAGTGATTAGTTAGGTTTTGGAGATAATCTATTCCTATAGGAATGTAAGAATTTTAAGAAAATCAGTTTTGTTTAGAACTAAATCAGCATAAATTCCACGTTATTTTATGTTCCTCTTAATTCATAACCTACAGATAAATTGTAAATTTGGGGAAAGTGATGGTTTAACAAAGTCAAATAATTAATACTTTAAAAGCAGATCATATCGAATAATCTCCACATAATAATGATGATTACATTAAATGGTTTACAGATGATACTGCTAATTCAAAGATATTGGGAATGTACATATCAATAAAGGAATATCTATCTGATTAAACTACAATCTTTAAAATTAAATTTCAATAAAAATTCCGTGATAATGAGTAAATCTAAGGTAAGATCAACTTCACGTGATCAAAAAGATCATTTTTAAACTCAAATTATACATGAATGTTTTTAATTCTTAAACAACATGCTGATATCACATTGCAATCATCCTAAGTAAATAAAAGTTTTAACATAAGATGTGTATCAAATTTAAAATTATGTAAAACCTACAAGTTTTATCTATCAAATGTTAAGATGTGCATTTTCTTTGATAAAGAGAATAACAAAATCAATGTCAAGTTGCAGCACAGTAGTCACTATCAAAGCTGGGAAAGCAAGAATGGCAGGAGAAGAAAAGGTCAACAAACAAAATCCTTCTTGTATTTATGATCACATTTACAAAAATGGTTATCAAGATTGGAGAACATTTAATTTCTTTGTGGGTCTCTGTTCCTTCAATTGGTAAATAGACAATTCTAATCAAATAATTGAGCCCAAGTTTATTATTTCTTACCCGTAAATTATTCTTAAATAAAATGGAGGCTGGAAACTGTAACGAGGGCTTCTTCACAACATTTGTTCTTGTCCATGCAGTGCTTTGACTGAAAAAAAAAAGAAAAACAAAAAAAGAGAGAGAATTTTAATCAAATAGTTGATACTGTGCTTATTTTTTTCTTAGCTGCAAATCTTCCAGGAAACAGAAGGGTGCACAACACATCAATGAGCAGTTTCCTAAATATTCTGTTCTTGTCCAGTGTTTTATTCTTACTTTTGACAATTTCTTCTGCAGTGGACACCATAACCACAGATAAAGCAATAAGAGACAGTGACACGATTGTTTCAGATGGTGAAATGTTTGAATTTGGCTTTTTTACCCCTGGTAACTCCAAGTATCGATACTTGGGGATATGGTATAAAAAAGTTCTTCCTCAGACAGTTGTATGGGTTGCTAACAGAGAGACTCCACTTACTGATACCTCCGGTGTGCTCAGAGTCAATAGCATGGGAACACTGCTGCTTCTCAATGGTAATAATACCTTGATTTGGTCATCAAATTCCTCATTATCTGTCAGTAATAAAAATATTGTCGCAAAGCTTCTAGATTCAGGAAATCTTATTGTGCATGATAACATGAGTAGCACAGATGAAGATCCTATCTGGCAAAGTTTTGATTACCCTACTGACACCTTGCTATCTGGAATGAAATTCGGGAAGGATTTTATTACAGGAAGAGAAGGGTGCTTGACATCTTGGAAGAGTCTGGATGATCCTTCTCCAGGCCTGTATGTAACTTGGCTGGATACAAATGGATATCCACAATCATTTCAGAGACGAGGTTCAGTTATAACATTAAGATTTGGACCATGGAATGGTGTTAGGACAAATGGTTTACCTAGTAAGCCAAATCCTATTTACAGATATGACTTTGTTTTGAATGAGAAAGAGGCGTATTTTATATATAATCTTATTAATACCTCATTTCTTTCGAGACTTGTTATTGGTCCTGAAGGCCACGAAATGAGGTTAAACTGGGATGATCCCTCCCAAGGGTGGGTCCCATATTTGGCTGCAACGGTTGACATATGTGCACCATATGGACTCTGTGGTTCATATGGAAGCTGTAACATAAACAGTTCACCTGTTTGTAGTTGTATGGTAGGGTTTGAACCAAAACACCCCAAAGAATGGAATGCAGGAGATTGGTCAGGTGGTTGTCAACGTAAAAAACCATTAAAATGTGGGAGTGAAGATGGTTTTCGGGCGATTTCAGGTTTGAAATTTCCGGATACCAGGCAATCATGGTACAATCTGAGCATGAACCTTGGAGAATGTAAAAAGGCATGCAAGAGGAATTGTTCTTGTACAGCTTATGCAAATGTGGATATTAGAAGAGGTGGAAGTGGATGTTTGCTATGGTTTAATGATCTTATGGATATCAGAGAATCCGATGAAGATCAAGATCTTTACATAAGAATGGCTGCATCTGAGTTAACAGGTGCATAAAAAAATTATTTCTCATTCATATTCATAGAAATATAGTAATCTTTCTTTGACGTGTTATATCTTTCAGGCATAAAATCTGGCTTTAACAAGAAAAAAGTAATCGAAGTGGCCCTTGGAAGTTCAGTTGGTTTTATTCTTATATGCCTAGCTGTGGTAGTGTATATTAGGAAGAAATGGTCTCATGCTCAAATTCAAGGTAATGCAATCAATTCCTTGAGGTAAAAAGAATGCATAATAATTAAGAATGTATAACTTTGTAGGTACTCTGATGAAGACCCTTTGTGAAGACTATACAGATGGAGGCCAAAATAAAGATGTAGAGTTGCCATTTTTCAGCTTTTCTGAAGTATCTAAGTTGACCAATAACTTCTCCATCGGCAATAAGCTAGGACAAGGTGGCTTTGGTCCAGTTTACAAGGTAACATATATATATTAATATGCGCCTGATTTATTTTATATTGCTGTATATATAAGGGAAATGAATATCAAAAATATGAATGAAAATATTTGATGTTGACAAAATACTTAGGGTGTAATGGAAGATGGGAGAGAAATAGCTGTAAAGCGACTATCAGAAACATCGACACAAGGACTTGACGAATTTAAAAATGAAGTTAGATGTATCCACAGACTTCAACATCGAAATCTTGTGAAGCTTCTTGGATTCTGTGCTCAAAAAAATGAAATCATGTTGATTTATGAATACATGCCCAACAGAAGCCTAGATCAAATTTTATTTGGTGAGAATCTATTAACATGGTAAAGTTTCAAGCCAAAGCTATATACTTAACATGTGTTAATTTTCATACAGATGAGACTAGAAGTTCAATGCTTGATTGGAATCACCGATTCCGCATCATCAGTGGAATTGCACGAGGGCTTCTTTATCTGCATCAAGATTCGCGCCTTCGTATCATACATAGGGATCTTAAAGCTGGTAATATTTTGTTGGACAATGACATGAACCCAAAGATATCAGATTTTGGGCTGGCTAGAAGATTTAAAGGATACGAAACTGGATCTAACACAAAGAATGTGGTTGGAACTTAGTAAGAATCAGAAACCACTTAAATTTAACTTCTCAGATATATCCCCATATCAACTGATCTGTCAGATTCTTTACAGTGGTTACATCCCTCCAGAGTATGCAGTTCACGGCATTTTCTCCACAAAATCAGATGTATTTAGCTTCGGTGTTTTGGTGCTGGAAATAGTAAGTGGGATGAAAAACCAAGAATTCTCTTCTCAAGAACACGGCGACAACCTTCTTGGACATGTAAGTTTAATAAATCTGATGTTTTGGGTTTCCTGCTGTTATTATTGACTATTATGTGTGATTATTGATTATATATACTTGCGATTTAATACGTACACCTCTTATCACTCAGGCATGGAGACTGTATAAAGACGACAAGAGTCTTGATCTGGTTGGTGGATCTTTAAGGGAGTCATGCATCATGTTGGAGGTACTCCGGTCAATACACATTGGTCTATTATGTGTGCAGAATCAGCCAGAAGATAGGCCGACAATGTCATCTGTGGTATTGATGCTTGGTAATGATGGTGTCTTGCCTCAGCCTAAACCACCTGCCTTTTTCACCGAGCCTGATCTCCACCTGCTTGCACCCACTGCACAACAATATTCTGTTGCTAATATCACTACATCATTGACAGGTCGATAGAACGAATTTTCATATATTTCAAAGTTCATAAACCATACAATATTTCGCGATATCTTCCCAATACAGCTTAACTCCTGAACATAGTTTTGGGTTACTTCATCCCACCAATAAAAAATTGAAGTAAATATGTTTTCGGTCTTGTATTTCTGCACCTATGTGAAAAAAAAAAGTTTTTTTTTTATTTTTTTTAATGCAAATACATGCAAACACGTAGCAAAAAGAAAAAATCCAAATTTTTTTCAGGCACGTCTCTTAATCACTAATTAAGGGCAATTTTGATTTTTTTTTTTTTTGAAAAATGTTGTTTACAAATAAATTTCTCATTTTAAATGGAGTTCTCTCTCTCTCCATATATATATATATATATAATATATATATATATATATATATTATATATATATATATAAGGCTTCAATTTAGAAAAAAAATTGAGAATAAGGGAATCAATCTCAACCACATATTTATTTCGCCGCAAAACACTTGGGCGTATCGGCGGAAATGAGCAAATGATACACATGTGTTTTCAAACCAAACATGTTTCCTTAAACTATGATAATCATTACCTTAATTTATACAAAAACAAAGTTTTTTTTTTTTTTTTTTTTTTTTTTTTTAAGGAGCTATTTTTATCGAAAAATTATTTTAAATATATCAAAATCCATAATTTTTTATTCTCTATAAGTAGATATCCATATTGACACTACTACAAAAAAGCTTATAGGACCCGATTATATCAGTTAAATAACCCAGTTTTAAATTAGGTCTTATTGTCTGCGAGTCCTATGTGAAAAAAGCAATAAAACCCGATTTCAAAACCGGGTTCTATCAATATTAAAAAGACGCGTTTTATTTTAACAATCGGGACATATAACGCTATCAAAGTCCACAAAACCAGGCCACACAAGGAGATTTGGACAGGGTTCTACCACTCAAAACCGGGTCTTACAACGATCACATATGCATCAGCTCCATTCTAATAATTGTTTCATTTAAAGAGAGCTTATATTTTTTTATAATAGTTTTTTATGAAAATAACTAACAAACCGTACATCCAAAATTACATTATGTTACAATTAACCACTAACACAACTGAAACTTACATCCAAAACACAAATTCAATACAAAAAAAACATGCTCTGATAAAGAAGTTATGTTAATGTAGACAAGCTAAATAACCAACCATTAGTTAATAATATAAACTGATATAAACGTGTTTGTGTGTCGAAAAAAACTCCTTGATTTGCGGGTCATATAGCTTATCCCCTTTTAGGTCCCGGTTTTTAAATAATATATCTTGGTTTTCCCAAAAACCGGGTCCTATTTTGCGAGTCCTAACGCCTTTTGCAGTAATGTGATATAGTATTTTTTTTTTTTTTTTTTTTTTTTTTTTTTTTTTTTTTTTTTTAGCTTTTGTTATTCATAAGTGAATAAAAATGCATCAGATTTTTATTATATTACATTCGTTATTTACTTATGAATAAAACATATGCTTAATCTTTTTTACAGTTCAACTATCATTCATATATAAATATAACACGTAATAAAGTTTTTTTATCTAAAATATTTTTTTTACATCATCTTTCGTCACATGTTATATTAATATATGAATAAAACGTGTATTAGTTTTCAACATATGTTATATTCATACATGAATAAAACATTTATCATATTTTTGTTACAGTTCATTTGTTACTCATATATAAATAAATGTTATGTTGATAAAAGACAAAGTGTTTTAAAAATTCGAACTCATTATTCATAAATGAATAGCAAATGAACTGTAACAAAATTTTGTTAAATGTGTTATTAATATATAAATATAACTTGTGAGAAGAGCTAGTATACGTTTTATTCATACGTGAATATAACATGTGACGAGAATAGATGTAAACCATAAAAAGTTTATTGGGAACAAATAAAAAATCATAGTCAAATGTACACGCTTTTATTGGGAACAATATTATATATATATATATATATATATATATATATATATATATATATATATATATATATATATATTATATAGAGCTAGGTTCAAATGTTTCTAGCAAGTATTGTGTGTATGTATGCACCAATGAGAATTTTTAGGAAATAATTTAATCATTAATTAAATTAATAAGGGTACATTAGTAATATTACACATGTGCATTAATTAATAACCAAAATTAACAATTGATGGTTTTTATTTACCTATTAAAACCCTACCCACTAAACCCTTCAATCATAATAAAAAAAACAATTGACTCTCTTCATCATCGGTCTTCCTCCGGCCGCCGCCATCAGCACCTTAACAACCCCACCCCCTCATCGGTATTCAGATCATCAGCATCACGTACTGTTCCCTTGGCCATGACCAATAGATATCGAACTGAGAAGTGAGAACAGATTGCTTTCCTGAACTTGATTTTCACTCGATTTTGTTTTCTTCGATCGCAATAAGTAAGTTGAAGTGTAACTCTAAAGCACTCTACTTTCGCACCTTCAATTTATGGCCTGATGCACAAGTTTTTTTTTATCCTCACTTAGTCACTTTGCTAGTGTATCTGCCTATCTGTGTATGCGTATGTATAATCTTGTTTTCTTTTTGGTGGTGGTGTAGGAAAGTCTCAATTGGTGTTGGCAATGGTATCAGTGGTTGAAAGCCCTTTGTCAAACGTCATAATTGTGGTGGAGGAGGGTGATTTCGAGTGGTCTTCGAATCCAATAGACTTAGGTTCATTTGTGAGTCCGATTTTGATTTCTACATTTGTGAGTTCGATTTTGATTTCCTCTCCAACAACGCCTCCTCTCCAGTTTACAGGTTCTATAATTTTTTTAAACAATTTTATTTTTTCTTCATGGCTTCAAATCACTTAGATTTTCAATAAATTTGATTGTTTTTTTATTGTTTCTTTTCTTTATTCCACATCAGGTCACACTTATGTGGTTGTTTGTTGGTGGGTTTTCCTTTTACACAGAAGCATTTGATAATGCACAGAAGGTGTTCGATAGAATGCATAAGAGATGTTTCAAGCTAAATTCCCGGTAATTGACTAATTCTCAGTAGGATACCATTAGTGTTTGTTTTTTTTTTTACTTTTTCTCTCTTGCAATGTATAAAAAAACCCAATTGGTGTTGTTTTTTAGAAGAAATTAGTCTATTATGATGTGAAAGTTGAGTATGAGGTGTGAATGGATTTGTGTGTATTCTGTCAGAATTTATCTATATAAATCCATTCTTTCAGAATGTTTGCATTCTTTTAGAATGAATTAGTGTTTATTGTTGGATTTTGATGTTTTTGTTGCATTTGTGATAGGAATGGCTTGAATGTATTCTATGTATTCTTTCAGAATGTATTATGCCAGAATAAAATCTGTGTATTTCTGCCATAATGTATTCTGTCATATTCTATTTATTCTACCAGAATATATAGTGATAGTTAATTGCAAGTAACATGTTTTTAACCATTATTAGTTTTTATTGTATTTGTGATAGGAATGGATGGAAGAATGCATTGAAGACCTAATAGGAATAACTTGAAGAACGAATAAAATTTGATCATACTCACAATTTAAGAATGTTGTTATTTTTTAAGAATTTTATTCATTTTTGTTGATATTCTTTTAGAATATGTACAATTATATTAAAATGTATAAGGCTTTTAGTTTGTAAGAATATGCATGAATTTGTATTTAAGTTCGGATGTATAAAAATATATTTAGAATGTTGTTATTTTTCAACCTCGGATTCAAGAAGTTTGTTATTCTTCCATAATATTCTAATGGAATAAAATTCTAAAAAAACATCATTATAACAAAAAAATATTCTGACAGAATAAAATCGGTTATGTTTACAAATTACTTTAGAATTAAAATTGAATTAATTAAAAAAATCAGATTTTTAAAATTAGGAGAATTTATTATCCCTAAAAATCCTAAAATTTCCTTTTTTAAATATAGTTAATTGTCCAAAATACCCTTTTGCTAAAATTTATGTGATTATATGGTACATGTTATCCCATTGTACTATCATACACCCTCAAATCATGTCTATTGATTAATTTCATCCGTTGGTCCATATCTGTGCATTCTGGCACACAATAGTTAGTAAAAACAAAATAACTTAACCCATATTATATATAGATATATATATATATATATATATATATAATATATATATATATATATATATATATATATATATAATCGATGGTCAGGATAGAGCAATCACAGGTATGGGTGATAAATCGGGTCATCGTGTCGTGTTATTTTTTCTGGCACAACACGACACGAGAAGGTTTTATGTAACACGATGTCGTGTTTTTAACTAACACAAAAACGAACCAATTAAAAAATGACAAACACGACAAAGATAACATAATATAACAATTAGTTTATTTAATTAATATTTAATCATGCATAACACGAAAAACATGAAAAACAAGAAAAACAAATGCTAAATTGTGTCAATTTCGTGTTGAATTTCGAACACGAACACGACACGACACGACATCGTGTTTTTTACACTTGACACGAACACGAATTCAAATTTCAGTTTCGTCCCAATTTCGTTTCGTGTCATTTATTTTTTTCGTGTCGTGTCATCAATTGTCACCTGTAATCGTATGTGGTTCTTAGCCACTTGCGATTTAAAGAAAACTGTAACATCCAAGATTTCAGGTATTTTTCAAATCCTTCCTCTGGTCTTAAGTTATGGAATTTTGGTCCCTTGATTATGAGAAAGCAACCGGAGACCTAGTGGCAAAATGGTGATTTTGAAAGGAAGGGGTGTACGCTAAGTGTACATGTGAGTACGTTAATCGTACTAGGGCGCGCCCTAGTACGTTGGGCGTACGTGTGCCTCCTGGTGAAAACCCTAATTTTTAGGGTTTGTGGAGTATTTAAGCATCTTTATGGACCATTTACTCCCATCTTTCCAGCCTCCAAGTCCTTGAGTCGTTTTTGGAAAACCCTAACCCCCATAAGTGTGTGTTTTAAGCTAAGAGTGTGTTTCTTGTGTGTTTGAAGAAGAAGAAGAAGGAGTTGCATCAAGGTGATTCGGGATTGAAGCACGCTAGTAGATCTTGGATCATCACTTCATTTAGAAGCTCCAAAAGGTAAAAAGTTGCAACCTTTATGCTTGGTTTGTTTGGATCTCATCTTGGTAGCTTTTTGGTGTTCTTTTTGTCCCAAATGTCCCATTGTTATGCATGCTCTGTTTTGGACGTGTTGGGCTGTCCTTTCATACCATAGGATGGGTTCTAAGGCATAAAAATGAGGCCCCCTTAGCTAGTTTGGCTCCATGTTCCTTGTAGGAGGTCTTAATGGGATTAAGACCATGTATTAAGGACTTTGTGAACGTCTAAAGTCTTAAAGTTTGAGACTTTATAATTCTAGAGTACATTTGAGTCATGGATCTGGAGTTTGGGCTTAAGTGCTTAAGCGATTAAGCACTTATCAATGTTTTGGGCTCTGCGAGGGTACGCCCCACGTACTTTGTCAACGTCCCCGTATGCAGTCTATGCGAGGCTCGCGTACACCCTGCGTACCTTTGGTACGCCCAACGTACGCCATCTGTTGGGCTTTCGGACTTTAGGCTTTGAGTTTTGGGCCACCTTTTGGGCTTGAATGCTTGGGCCTTTTTGGTCTACCTGAGTATGAGTGTGAAACAACCCAAAAATATGACCCAAAAATTTCGTTTTCAAATCATTACTAAAATCATAAACCATCTAAAGTCATAAGTAAAATCATAATTCATATATCATAAAACATCATAGTATCTGTCTCAAATCGAATTCTCATAATAAAACATCAGAGTAAACTCCCAGGCTATGACTGTGGTGTGTGCCATGCGATAATCCCGAGCCCTTTCCCTTGCTAGTAGAAGTACCTGAAACCAAAACTGAAAACTGTAAGCACGAAGCTTAGTGAGTTCCCCAAACTACCACATACCATACACATATATCATGCAACTAAGAGATACTGGCCCTGCCCACACTCCACTGACTCTGAGATACGGGCCCCGCCCACACTCAGCTACTTCGAGATACGGGCCCCGCCCACACTCGGCTACTATGAGATACGGGCCCCCGCCCACACTCTCTACTGGCGAGATACGGGCCCCCCCCCACACTCAGCCACTAATCCAACATACAAGTATCACACAGACAACAAGGATAACTAATTCTAACAGTCAGACATATATCCATAATCAAACTAAACTGTGAGATACGGGCCCCGCCCACACTCAGCTACTAACATTTCATACTACGGGTCGGCCTTGGTGCCTTAGCCCCGTTCCTACTGAAAGGAAACTCACCTTGCAAGACTGGCTTGAAACCCTAGTGTGAGATCCCTGTCTGCTGCTCCGACGACTCCCCCGCTATCAATTCCAATATAACACTTAATCAGAATCTGGCATAATCCTTTCTTAGGGTAGAGGCCTTTTTACCCCTGGTCAAGGTCAAGCAAGGGCAATCCCAGTCAACCCTACTCGTCAAGTCCTATCCCAACTCGGCGAGTTCGTGACCAAAACAGACCCGTGGTCAATCAAGTCCACTCGTCGAGTCCCTTAACAGACTCGTCGAGTTCTTCCTGACATAACATCGGGAGATATTGACTCCTACTCGTCGAGTCCCTCCTTGGACTCGTCGAGTTCTTCAACTTCCTAGTCCTATTATTGTCCAATTCACCGAGTCATCTCCTTGACTCAGTGTTTTCACTCATAACCATAAAAGGAGTTAGGGTTCACGACCCGACTCGCCGAGTTCCAAGAACAACTCGCCGAGTCCTCCTTGTGACCCTTCCATTCAGTCGATTTTAATCCATTCCAGTGCTTCCAACTCATAGATCTGGACACTTTAGGCTAGCCTTTCACGTAAAGTTGCTAACTTTACGTGCATGCATGACGTTATAAAGCTAGGACACCAAAACCAAGCTAAACATGAGAACCTAATGCATGAAATGGGGACATGGCTTGAATAAAGGTGGCAACTTTGACTTCTGGAGCTCAGAGTGCCTAGATCTAAAGTCCTTATGTCCCCAAAGCTCTCCACTCGGAAATGACCTTAGAAATGGCCCCAAAAGACCAATAAACAACTTAAATGAAGATCTAAGTGGAAGAAGCCAAGGTACAAGCTTTATACTTCAAGAGTTCTGAAATGCAACACAAACACCAGATCCTTATGCCTTCTCCTTGGATCTTCTAGCCTTTCCTTCCTCCTTCTATCCTCAAATCACACAAAAGGCAAGAAATGCTTAATAACACTGTAACACCCATAAAATTTGAGCCAAATTAAAACATTTTAATTCATTCAAAAACCATTAAGTTTCATACACCTTGTTTTCAAAATAGTGTGAACATCAGAGTATCCCCGAACCATATCACATAAATCATAAAACATAGGAGCGGTACGATCATGCCTTCCCCTTGCCACGATCTCCTGAAGTACCTGAAACAATACACGAAACTGTAAGCCCGAAAGCTTAGTGAGTTACCCCAAAATACCACCACACATAAACTACTCATAACATATCACGATAGAACAACCATGCACATCGGTCTACTGTGTGACTGGTCCCGCCCGCAACGGGCCTTCAGTCCACCTGGTCCACCCCCCGAGTCTAACCATGTACATCGAGTCTACAGTGTGATTGGTCCGCCCGCGTCGGCCTTCAATCCACCTGGTCCACTCTCTGAGTCTACAGTATGACTGGTCCGCCCACACCGGGCCTTCAGTCGGCCTGGTCCACTCTCGAGCCTCGGCATCTGGTCCGCCCTCTTGGGGCCTTCAGCCTATCCGGACCGCTCGCTAGCCTTCGGAATATTCGTCCGCCCTGGGTATGTTGGCCCTACAGCACAAAGCAGGACCCCCTCAACCCAACCCCCGTCAAACAACCTGTGCACATAAACAATTAATACGGCATAACAAATCCTTAACCAGACAAACAGTCTAACAGATCACATAGCAATCAACAACCTAACTAGGATTCTGACCTAACCGGTCACTAGCATAACATTACCACATATACCGCGTACCGACCTTAACC